CCCGCGGGCCCATCCGCCTGACGGAAGGCAGCGAGGCCTTGCTTCGCCTCTACGGGCTGGGCTTAGGCCCCGGCGCCGCCGAACGAGTGGCTTTCGCCGAGTTACGGCCGGGAGGCAACGCTTCGAGCGGTAACGCCACGTGCCAGGAGCGCTCGCAGGATCTGGTGGTGCGGCCCGGGCCCGCCGAGCCCCGCGACACCTCAGCGCTGCTCCGGGTGAGGGTCCAACCCCTCCGCAAGGACGAGCGGGCCAAAACCTACGTGTTGTGCTCCCAACGGCGGCCCGGCCAGCCCTGGCTGCCGCACCAAGGGCTGGATGGACACGTGGTGGTTCTGGAGGAGAAGAAATCGCTGCTGCCGCTGTGGTTGCAGGTGATTCTGATCGCGGGGTTGTTGGTGCTGTCGGGGATGTTCAGCGGGCTCAATTTGGGGTTGATGGCGTTGGATCCCATGGAGCTGCGCATCGTGCAGAACTGCGGCACCGACAAGGAGAAGCGTTACGCCCGCAGGATCGAGCCCATCCGGAGGAAAGGGAATTACCTGCTGTGCTCGCTGCTCTTGGGCAACGTGTTGGTCAACACCACCCTCACCATCCTGCTGGACGATCTCATCGGCTCCGGCATCGGCGCCGTGGTGGCTTCCACCATCGGCATCGTCATCTTCGGGGAGATCGTGCCGCAGGCGCTCTGCTCCCGGCACGGGCTGGCCGTGGGCGCCAACACCATCGTGGTCACCAAGTTCTTCATGCTGGTGACGTTCCCCTTGTCCTTCCCCATCAGCAAACTCCTGGATTGTATCCTGGGCCAGGAGATCGGCACCGTCTACAACCGGGAGAAGCTGGTGGAGATGTTGAAGGTGACGGAGCCTTACAACGATCTGGTGAGGGAGGAGCTGAACATGATCCAGGGAGCGCTGGAGCTGCGCACCAAGACGGTGGAGGACGTGATGACCCCGCTGCAGAACTGCTTCATGATCAACAGCGACGCCATCCTGGACTTCAACACCATGTCCGAGATCATGGAGAGCGGCTACACGCGCATCCCGGTCTACGAGGACGAGAGGTCCAACATCATGGACATCCTCTACGTCAAGGACTTGGCTTTCGTGGATCCCGATGACTGCACGCCCCTCAAGACCATCACCAAGTTCTACAACCACCCCGTGCACGTGGTTTTCCACGACACCAAGCTGGATGCCATGCTGGAGGAGTTCAAAAAGGGTGAGGAGGTGGCTGGGAGTGAAATTCCGCTGGGTTTTGCGTCTCCAGAGATGATCCCCAGGGAATGAGAGGCAAAAGGGGAGGTCACTGAGCTTTAATCCCGGATTTCCTGGGAGTTTTCCCGTGCTGGGAATCTTTCCTTGCTCCTTGTTTTTAGCCCCCGAGGCTGCTGGAAAATCTCTGGCCTCCCTCTGATTTTGGGTTTGGCTCCTTTCTCTGGGATTTTCCCTGGAATTGGGAACTTCCAGGAACTTCCAGGGCTTCTGGGCTCCCAACAAGGGAGGATGGAATGGAAATTCCGGTGGGTTTTGCATCTCCAGAGATGATCCCGAGGGAATGAGAGGCAAACTGGGAGATTTAATCCCGGATTTCCTGGGAGTTTCCTTGCTCCTTGTTTTTAGCCCCTGAGACTGCTGGAAAATCTCTGATTTTGGGTTTGACTCCTTTCTCTGGGATTTTCCCTGGAATTGGGAACTTCCAGGGCTGCTGAGCTCCCAACAAGGGAGGATGGAATGGAAATTCCGCTGGGTTTTGCATCTCCGGGGGATCCCACGATCCCCAGGGAGTGAGAGGCGAAAGGGGAGATTTAATCCCAGATTTCCTGGGAGTTTCCTTGCTCCTTGTTTTTAGCCCCCGAGGCTGCAGGAAAATCCCTCTGATTTTGGGTTTGGCTCCTTTTTCTGGGATTTTCCCTGGAATTGGGAACTTCCAGGGAAGTTCCAGGAACTTCCAGAGCTGCTGGGCTCCAGACAAGGGAGGATGGAGTGGGATGTGGAAAGCCCTTGGGGTGGGATTTGCCCTTTCCCAGGCTCTTTTCCCAAAAATCTGGAGCTTGGATTGGGATGTGGAAAACTCCAAGGTGGAATTTCCCTTTCCCAGGCTCTTTTCCCAAAGTTTTTCCTCCCTGGAAATCTCCAGAGCAGCTCCTGGGAAAATCCAGGGATTCCCAAACCCCTTCCTTGGGAGATGCCGATCCCATTCCATCCCAAAAATCTGGAGCTGAGAAATGAATCCGGAGGGAATAATTAATTGGATGCGTTAATTGCGGGGTTTGGGCTCTGGGGGCGTCGCCCTTGGGGTGACAATTCCCAAATCCCGCTTTGGGATGGGGGTTTGGGCTCTGGGGGCGTCGCCCTTGGGGTGACAATTCCCAAATCCCGCTTTGGGATGGAATTCCCAGATTTTGGGGATGGAATTCCCAGATTTTTTGAGATGGAATTCCCAGATTTTTTGGGATGGAATTTCCGGATTTTTTGGGATGGAATTCCCAGATTTTTGAGATGGAATTCCCAGATTTTTGGGATGGAATTCCCGGATTTTTTGAGATGGAATTCCCAGATTTTTTGAGATGGAATTCCCAGATTTTTTGGGGATGGAATTCCCAGATTTTTTGGGATGGAATTCCCAGATTTTTTGGGATGGAATTCCCAGATTTTTTGAGATGGAATTCCCAGATTTTTGGGATGGAATTCCCGGATTTTTTTGGGGGATGGAATTCCCAGAAGATCCATGACCTCTCCATCCCCGGGAACGTCCGAGGCCGCGCTGGAACCACCTGGCCCTGGATCAACCCCCCCAGCCCCCTCCCATCCATCCCCACATTCCATAAAAAGCCCTGGAGGATCC